CAGAAAACTGACTTTTCTTTGTCTAAAATGTTCAGTGGTGTCGGTGCTTGATCTAACTCAACTGTCCTCATAAGCGACCAGATCTAACTGTTATGTTTCATTATTCAATCAGATGAAGGTAGTGTTTCATTATTCAACCAGATGAAGGTGATGTTTCATTATTCAACCAGATGTAGGTAGTGTTTCATTATTCAATCAGATGAAGGTAATGTTTCAGTATTCAACCAGATGTAGGTAATGTTTCATAATTCATCCAGATGTAGGTAGTGTTTCATTATTCACCAAGATGAAGGTAATGTTTCAGTATTCAACCAGATGAAGGTGATGTTTCAGTATTCAACCAGATGAAGGTAATGTTTCAGTATTCAACCAGATGAAGGTAATGTTTCAGTATTCAACCAGATGAAGGTGATGTTTCAGTATTCAACCAGATGAAGGTGATGTTTCATTATTCAACCAGATGAAGGTGATGTTTCAGTATTCACCAAGATGAAGGTAGTGTTTCATTATTCAACCAGATGAAGGTGATGTTTCATTATTCAACCAGATGAAGGTGATGTTTCAGTATTCACCAAGATGAAGGTAATGTTTCAGTATTCACCAAGATGAAGGTAATGTTTCAGTATTCAACCAGATGAAGGTGATGTTTCATTATTCAACCAGATGAAGGTGATGTTTCATTATTCACCAAAATGAAGGTAATGTTTCAGTATTCAACCAGATGAAGGTGATGTTTCATTATTCACCAAGATGAAGGTAATGTTTCAGTATTCAACCAGATGAAGGTAATGTTTCAGTATTCATCCAGATGTAGGTAATGTTTCAGTATTAAACCAGATTAAGGTATGTTTCATTATTCAACCAGATGAAGGTAGTGTTTCAGTATTCAACCAGATGAAGGTGATGTTTCATTATTCAACCAGATGAAGGTAATGTTTCAGTATTAAACCAGATGAAGGTGATGTTTCATTATTCACCAAGATGTAGGTAATGTTTCAGTATTCAACCAGATGTAGGTAGTGTTTCATTATTCACCAAGATGAAGGTAATGTTTCAGTATTCAACCAGATGAAGGTGATGTTTCATTATTCAACCAGATGAAGGTGATGTTTCATTATTCAACCAGATGAAGGTAATGTTTCAGTATTAAACCAGATTAAGGTATGTTTCATTATTCAACCAGATGAAGGTAATGTTTCAGTATTCAACCAGATGAAGGTAATGTTTCAGTATTCAACCAGATGAAGGTAATGTTTCAGTATTCAACCAGATGAAGGTAATGTTTCAGTATTCAACCAGATGAAGGTGATGTTTCATTATTCACCAAGATGAAGGTAATGTTTCAGTATTCAACCAGATGAAGGTAATGTTTCAGTATTCAACCAGATGAAGGTAATGTTTCAGTATTCAACCAGATGAAGGTAATGTTTCAGTATTCAACCAGATGAAGGTAATGTTTCAGTATTCAACCAGATGAAGGTGATGTTTCATTATTCACCAAGATGAAGGTAGTGTTTCATTATTCAACAATATAAAGGTGGTGTTTAATTATTCAACCAGATGTAGGTAGTGTTTTATTATTCAACCAGATGTAGGTAGTGTTTTATTAATCAACCAGATGAAGGTGATGTTTCATTTTATATTCCCCATATGATGAGGAAGGTGTTTTATTGAATTCCATTGTAATGCAAGATGTCTAACGCCAGAACCTTAATACTGTAATCCCTTCGTGCGTAGCTTGTAACAAATACTAATAAACGGGTTGTTATGTCGGTTTGAATTTTTTTTAAAAACGCATAAATGGCTATTCTTGAGTCTTGGCAAATGTCGGTAGTCGTGCTATTATGTCGCCAACGACACAAGAGTGTCATCATTTGAAAGCTACACGGCCTGGCTGACCCGGCTCGACTATGTCCAACACCTGGGGCACAGTAAACGTCAGTGAAAAGGATGGTCACATTCTCATATGACCCCCATGTGGAAGTTCGTATACTTTCAAGGCTTAAACATTTCTCGAATTAAACCCATTCGTAGCTGAGACAAAGTAGCAAGATCAGAATAAATGTTTCGTCCTTCAAAACGCCAAGTCAGTCGTTAGGGTATGTGATTTAAATGAGCAGAGCTATACATGTTAGAAAACGCACAAGGCTATTCATCTCTCGCCCAGCCGTCTCTCTGACAGTAAGCGATGCTGCAGTGTTGTCATGTGTTTTCACTGATACAAATACTTTCCTTGTTCCACATCCTAATTTGGAAGTACAAGAATGATACTCATTTTATATTTCAAATATGGCAGAAAAATCGATAAATGAGTATGGCTTAGATGTTAGAAATCATAGCCTGTAATATCTTCGATTTGCTTGGCTGTTGTGACCTTGGCGATCGCGTAAGAGGGATTAAATATCCGCAGAACACTGACAAACATCTTAAAGCATCATTGCTCATGTCCGTTGCTTTACGTTATGACCTCAGGCTGGCATCATCTGTTTTAGTGACCCTGTGGGTGGCACACTTTCCTTTTGCACATAATTGTCTGACAGTAATTTAGCCTATTTAGAAAAATGTTGCATGATTGATGTACGATTAAATAGAATTGAAATATCGTTTATTCTTGGTCAGTAAAAAACAAAGACTACAACGATGACAACGGCGACGACCGACAAATTCACTAATGAATCGGTATTATTATAGGAGTAATAGCAGAGGAGGGAGGATTCTCGGGTTCTCCCTACGGCTTCCAATATTACGTTGTGTTACTGTGCTAAGTATAATTTTCGCCAAATGTTTGTTTCTCGGTTTTTGTAGTGATATATCTGTTTTGTTTTTGCTGATCGTTGTTTAAAGAAAATTATAGTAAAATAAAAGTATAGTATACAAAATTAAGATACCACGCAAAACTAACAACTACATTTATCATGTCGACATTCATTCAGTTTACAAATGCAGAAAAGAAGTTCCGGGCTCAATGTCTGGCTACACAAATTACGTATGTTAACGATATCATGATTCTTCTAAATATGTCTATTGTTTCTTTTTAGTGATTTATTTATGTGAATAAAAACGGAAATCGTGAATATAAATCACGCTTTATAGACAGGACCATTAGAAAGACTTATATCCTAAGCGAGCTTATGTTCAGTTTTCAGGGATGAGTTATTTTCGGCATCGTCAAGGGTAACATCCCTTGTCCATCTGTAGGAAGTTCGTATATCTATCACATAGTTGTCCCTCTTGTCGAATACTACCGTCATTTCAAGATGAAAATTAAACCGGTCCTCTAAGTTACATATTTTCAGTCTGTCTTGTTGAATTTTCTTTGGTCAGATGTTATATGTTATATTCCTTCAATCTGAAACTCCTCGTCTTTTATATGGAACCTCACATTCCTTTGATCTTATTTACAAAGCTTGTCCCGAATCCTCCACTCCTTCTATCGTACATGTCTCTTCATCCTTTCGAGAGAACCATAACCTTAGGAACTAGGGACCTGTATGACTGCAAGGCCTTCAGTCATACAGGTCCCTAGTGCCTTTCTCATAACCTGCCATTCTTTTAACATTGCATGTTATTGTTCCTATGTCTGAAATCTTCTTTCCTGCCTTCGTATACGTTTTTAGGTCCGATTGACAGAATTCTCCACTTGTTTTATCTAACATGAATCTTAGTGTCTTTGTCTGAAACATTCATTCCTTCTATCATTCAAGTCACTTTGTCCATTTGACAGAATGCCCGGTTCATTCTGTCTTTCACATCCCTTGTCCCTAAACCTGAAACTTCTTTCCTTGTGTCTTTCACGTTTCAGGTCCCTCAGTCTGAAACCTTCCTTCCTTCTGTCTTTCTTGTCCCTTGTCCCTCTGTCTGAAACCTTCCTTCCTTCTGTTTTTCACGTCTCATGTCCCTCAGCCTGAAAACTTCCATCCTTCTGTCTTTCACGTCTCTTGTCCCTAAGCCTGAAACCTTCCATCCCTCTGTCTTTCACGTCCCTTGTCCCTCAGCCTGAAAACTTCCATCCTTCTGTCTTTCACGTCTCATGTCCCTCAGCCTAAAAACTTCCATCCTTCTGTCTTTCTTGTCCCTCAGCTTGAATCCTTCCATTCTGCTGTCCTTCATGTATCATGTCTCTCAGCCTGAAACCTTCCATCCTGCTTTCTTTCACGTCCCTTGTCCCTCAGCCTGAAAACTTCCATCCTTCTGTCTTTCACGTCTCTTGTCCCTCAGCCTGAAACCTTCCATCCCTCTGTCTTTCACGTCTCATGTCCCTCAGCCTGAAAACTTCCATCCTTCTGTCTTTCTTGTCCCTTGTCCCTCAGCTTGAATCCTTCCATTCTGCTGTCTTTCACGTCCCTTAACCCTCTGTCAGAAACCTTCCTTCATTCAATCGGTTGTCTCTTGTCCTTTTACTTGAAGCATCAATTCATTTTATCTTACTGAAACTTTATTCCTTTCTTTTTTTATCTCACAAGTTTTACAAATATGGCTTTTTAAATTATGAAATCAAAACATAATATTACTTTATTATTATATAGCATTAGATATTCTCTTATCGTCTGTTTCTTATTCTAACGTGTCGAGAGAGTTTGTATCAATGAGTCAAACACAATTTGCCGTAATATGTAAACTTCATTGAAATGATGAAACTTAAAGGACAAAATTAGAGAGAAAAATCTTATTTACTTATAATGCTATTGATAAAGCTATCCTGACATGGCCTTGATAAAAATCTCCTCTTTACGGGAGAAGAACAAAAAAATGCAGTAATTACGCATGATAAACCAGTGTTTGTAATGTGTTTGTGACGATTTTTTCTGTGATGAACTGGAGCTCCAGACAAAATGGAACAGTAACTAAATATCTTCGTAATTAAAACCGTAAGTCTCTGCAACCACACCAGCGCATGTACTTGTCGCGTTTCGTAATCTGATCATATTACATAAATATATATATATATATATATGTGTGTGTGTGGATGTATATATACGTGTGTGTTTGTATAGACGTATGTACATAATTGCATTGAGTAACAGAGTATCGTATAAATTCCTATTTTCTGCATTAAATCAACACAAGCCAATGTACAGATCATGCTTTGGATTTCAGGTTTTATTGCCATTCATTAACATTATACCTTTGCGTGGTCATTGAAACGGAAGTCATCGTCTCTCCAATAATGCTAAATGGCATTGCAAAACTGGTCGCATGTGATACAAGCGCCTAATTGATCAAGTTTGGATGTAGTTCCATGGATTTTATGACACTACCGGCAAGGCACCTTCCGTGGTCATTGGAAATCAGCAAGGTTTCCTTTCAGACGTAAACCTTTGTATCTTTCCGCTTGAACAATGACGTCCTGAAAACATGAAGGTAGGTCTAACTTGTCGTAATGCGATAAACGTGGGCTGATGAAGGCACGAACATCAGCTCTACCTAGGATTACGACAGATCGGTGTAATTATAGGAAAGGACAAACACTTTTTTTTCTCGAGTAGATTGAGGTCATTTGATTTACAATTTGCGTTAGTGTTTGGTATCTTTGTCAAGCGAAGCCTTGCAAAACACTAGAATGGCGGTATGGAGGACTGACTGTATTTGTAAGACTGGGGAAAGGTATAAGTCAACACAGAGAGGTTTAAGGAATTATCAAGATGGGGTCGAAACGACCAAAACACAGCCCCTCTCCACTTCTTGAGAGGGCTCCTGGGGTCTATAAACTGGAGCCTGAGGATTGTCCTCCTATAATCAAAGAAAGAATAAAAAAATCAATATAAACTAACGACAGTACTGGTGTTAATGGTGGATGACTTAAATATTAAAGCAGGGATGACTCTACTCTTGGCACTAACTCTCTTTATGACAGTTTTATTGAAGAGAGAAAATTCATGACAGAAAGAAAATAATCAAATAACGCAATTCTATGGCATAGGATCGATCTGCATAGAAATCCATTACACAAGATATGTTCTTTTAATTAGGATAGAATTAAATGGCCTAATGGACAACCGCAAAGATGTGTTCATGAAAAGGAGATTTCATAGAGTTTCCAGCTGACTTAGCAATCTAATTTGTGGCCTGGTCATAAGGGATCAAGGCTGAGATGGGTCATTTTCGGTCAGGCGTGATTACTCTAAATATGGACATGTATCTCTCTGTTGATAATCACAAGTCATGTAACAAAACTTGTTATTGAATAGCGATAAAGAAGCTGACGATAGAGGCTCGGTTTGCATCTTGGTGCCACTATTTGTTAATAATTTGACCATGTTGTTATGACCTTAAAGCGACATATAGAAGGAGTATATCAGATTAAAGTAACATCATTATATGGAAATAATAAAGATATAACAAGGAGAAATCGGAAGGGTAAAACGAAAATGACAGATATTCTGTTTAAATTAGGGATTATCTCAGATTATTGATGTTACCACAAGGATATGTAATGTTTCTTACTATTTCATTAACTCACGTCATGTGTATTAGCGCCTTGTGTATTGTCAGCTCAAGCAGGTTTTTTGACACGTTATGTGACACAGCATTAACACTTCCAGGAACGTTAACCGGAAATGACGTAACTTCCTTGGCTTCCTAATACCGTTTTTTTTGTTTTGTTTCCTTCTATCCCATTACAGGTTAATTCTAAATACTTCAGTTGTTTACTTCACTTTCTGGATATAAATTCAAATCATCTGACAATTAAATAAACAAGCATGAATTGGTAAATAGATAATAATAATAAAACAAAAACAAAAACAAACATCAGAATCTTAATCACAACATCACCTTTAGCACCTGTGTATGTGAGGTGTCTACTATTCAATGGGAATGAGTAATAAGACACATTTCGTTATAAATATGTATAAGTTTTACCATTATTTCTCAAAATTTTATTTATAAATCTACATAAAGTACCAATTGTGAATTCAAGCAAGGTTACAATGATACTTGACAAATGAGCGAATCTTTGAGGTTGTCCTTGAACCGCGAAGATAAATGATCTAAGAAAGGGCCGTGATGTCAACGCCATTAAGAGGGTTAATAAAAAATCGTTTGGCTTTAATTACCTGCACAGCTTTTTCGTAACAATGCAGATACAGTTTTGTTTTCACAATGTGTTTCTTTTTTTTGCATTTGTAATAAGATAAGTAAGTACTTTGGAACAATTTATCTCTTGTTTTGTCCATTTATTTAGGAGTAAGTCTTCTTTGACGTTTGTATTTATTGATAAAAATTATATTCACTTTTAATTATGAATATTTACCAAGGAATATATCTAATTTTTATTTTGATCTTGGAAAACTATAATATCTAACCCGTGCAGAAGAGGCGACTTAATGTCGGGCCCTTGCATGCCGGGGATAATTTCTCCGATGTTTTGTGTTCAGTGGACATCTGAAAGCCCAAGAATAGGATCTGTTTTATTCCACAGAATGTTCGAAATAGTCAACTGAAAGAGGGCCTCTTCCACAGGCGGGCATTTTCGTCCGTGTCTTCCACAAAAATGTCATTGAGAAGATCCACGGCCTCCATGACAAATCTTTTCTTTTCCTTTCTTTCCTATCTTGTTCGTTCTCTGTGTGTTTTATTTTCCACCCTAGTTGTCGCACTGGACATCTGCCTTCATATATCTAGACAGTCGCTGGGACATTAAACCTCGTAAACTAAAAACTCGAAAACAACCCGACCTCAATAATAAGCTTCATTTGCATATTTTTAAAGAAAATAAGCCGTGGCTAATTTTCAAGTTTTTAGGGTATTTTCATTATTGTTGAAATTGGAAGGTGAATTGAGAAATTTCTTTATTTCTTTTTTTTTTTTTTTTTTTTTTGGGGGGGGGGGAGGGGAGTGGAGGGGGGTATGGGGAGGTATGTAGATGAAGTTTGAATTCGTTGTAGTTGCAGTTAAACGTAGTTCCTGTTTTCGTGCTCTAAGTTATTGAAAAATAGAAACCACCGTGACTCTTGTTTATAATTATGTTCTTTTTATAGCATCAGATAATATATTGACCTTTGTTGATCTTATGTTATTTTATAACTACTGCTTATTAAGTCATTAACTACCAGGTCTTGTCTCGAATTCGACTTCCTGTGGCATGGAACCATGTACTGGATACAGAGGGTCAACGTCTTGGAGATGTGGTAAGATTTTGTAACATGCTTGTAAACAGTGGCCCTGACACAAGATGCGATGCTGTGTTTGGTGAGTCGCAGGTTTTCTAAAAAGATGACAGACCACAAGTTAAACCGACACTCCGTTAGAATTTACCAATCCCTCCCACTGGAAAAGATTCTAATGGAAAACTACTGACAAAGTGACAGATATGTCATTGTTAACTTTCTATCAGGAAATTGGAGCTTTTTAAAAAAATGTTTGATTTTTTGCAGACAAGAAATATCTGTCTATTTCAAGAGAAGCTAAATGACAGTAATTGGACGCGAATGTCAAAGACAGGAGAACACGCGAGCTGAGAACGAGGCGCCCTCCGGAACAGAAGGCTTTACAAGTTAACCTCTTCAAATTCCCCCCGTAAGTAGTGACGTCACAGAATTTTATGAATCTATATCCAGTAAATGCCTTCGCATGACCTTCTTGCTGTTTAATAGATGGTATTCATCAATGTTTACCTCGACATGTCTTAAGAGACATATATCTGTCATTTTGTCCGTTATTAATGAAAAATAAATTCAACTAAAAATGTTTCACAATACATACTGAAAAATTATCTTTTATCTCAAATTTATTTTGACATTTATCATAACTATCAACAAAATATTCCTTAATTTGTAAAACATACCTGACGTTCTCTTCTTCACATAACACTTATCAATAAGCGTTGGCATTAGTATATTTTTACTGAATTTAGGAACATCAAATTTAATAATAGAGGTTTGATAATATTTTGATATTTCATTTACTGTAGTGTTGTCCTTCCATACAAATACCATAACAAAATACCAACATGACAACATGATTATAATTCAAAATTCATATCCCATAAAACTAGGAAAAATATGAACAAAAGAAAGATTTACATGGCGAATCCTGAAAAAGTGCAAGGAGAATAAGATCAGGTGTTCCGAAAAAGTAAGCGTCTTATGCTTTATTGACGACACCCTCCATGTAAATCTTATTCAATCAAAGCAAGTAATGTCTCGTTTTCAAATAAGAAAAATGTATACAACAACGGAACCAGAAGGCAAACTATACGAAAATTTAGTTTTACGTCAGTAAAGGCAAAGAACAAAAGCACGTGAGATCATCATACCGAATCTGTTTCCGTCATTCTGTTACATTAGTCAGTCTTGGCGTGATATCAAAGCTGTGAAAAAGGCGTTTCGAAAGCTTTCCAATTGGCATCATCGCTAGTCGGAATTGGTAACGAAGGAAATGATATCCCCATTGTTTAACTATTTACCAGAAAGAGAAATAAATTAACATACGAACTTAGTAAGTGACCCAATGTATTTCCAGAAATATCTTATCATACGCCGTGAGAGAACTACCATCCTGAAACACCAAATCACACAAGGCGTTTGTAGGACGTACTGATGTCGAATTGGTCTTTATCTACTGCCTTCATCTCATTCTTGTTTTCTAGATAAACGATTTTACCACTAATATGACTTAGACGATAAGTGTTCAGACACTCGTTATGGAAAGGTAGAAGATATAGATACGATGCAAACATATGTCAGGAAAGACACAACAGGAATAACATGATAAAAAAATAAAATCAAAAGACAAATAAAAATCGATGGAACGAGGGCTTATTAAGAACAAAAGAAAAATATGGAAGTGGCATGACTAACCATAGGATATATAAGCCTAATTAAGGTGCCTTCTGAGAGGTCCGAGTAACCTCTCTGTACCACTTTGGTTCGTACTTTTTGTCTTTGGGTTAAAATGGCTGACACATCTTTACGCTTTTCTGAAGAATTAAAGAGAATGGGTGCTGTTACAAATCGTTTCAGAATATACCCCATACTGAGGATATGCCACGAAGCAACATTAAATTAGCAACACTATGTAACTTTACAGCAGATGGTTGATTAGGGCTGGAGTTTCCAAGCCTGGCCGGATTTTTCTTACTTCTCACAGGGCACAGATGATGCTGGCTCTATGCAATTGACACAATTATCTCGACCAACCGGGAGCTGAGCATTTGATTACTTTTGTCCATGAGTCTCGCGGGGATCGTTTCCTCTATCTAGGCTTGTGATTAGAAATACGCACCACCATATATCATTTTGACAACATTTACATGTATATACACAAAACAATGCTACGATTCTAGCAATTACTTTACTGATGACTTAAAAAACTAATTTTATTTTAACACAAGACAAAAGTAAATTAAATCCCTTTGGCATCGTTCAGGCTTACAAAACGTAACGGTGCTATATTACTGGAAAGGTCATACGGTCTTCTGGCTCAGCGGATCCTCCGTATGTGGCTATTTCTTAAATGGCAATGACCATTGTCTCTCATTGTCAAGTTATATTCTTTGTTTAAAAAACAACAAAAAGCTCTATTAGTGGTATATTAACTAGACATTTCTATCACATTTGTTTTGCTATTACAACAAAGACATGTTAACAAAGTCGAGTTTTTTTACCTGATATTTATCTTCTATGTTCAAACAAACAAACAAACAAAAACATGTTACTAATGGGAAAGTCTGAAGTTTCATTGACCGTTAAACTTGGAATATCATCTATGTACAGTGCTTTTTGACATTAACTATGTGATAGTCGTCCTGTGAGGTTCTTGATCGTTTGTTTTATAGACAGTAACTCCAGGTGTGGAAGTTACCTTTTATGACGCTATTTGATCGCTAACACGCTGAAACCTTGCGATGACGACATTACCTTGTCCAGAACCACGCACCTGCTCCCCATCACAACTCTCCCGCCCACTTACAATACGTGTCGTCTGCTACTTACGTATTAAACGATATTCCACTAACTTACGCACCTCTATAATGAACTTCTCATATCACGACATAAGGACGATGTCGATGAAAGTATTAAGGGGTTCAAAACCACAAGAAATTGATTTTGGTTTTGTGATGAAGAAAGCTAAAGCAGTATGTACCTCCCTTGAAATCGCCATAAAGCAATCCATCTTGGATCAAGTTACCATGGTCTCCTGGTGTATAATTTGTTTATGTTTTTATTACTAATATGAAAAGCCACGTAACAACTTTCCAATAAATGAAGATGCTGACAGATCCTTTAAAGTGCAGATAAACAAACGGTCACCAGATTAGACCCAGTTGATGTGATAAAACCAACAGCATAAAGAGCCATTTACACGCCGGCAGTTCTCTGATTTCCCCTTCCAGACTAAACAATATACCTCTAAACAGACATAACAACATTCGTCAACAGCCCATATCCGAGTCTTCATCTACAAAGCACAACGACAAAAACCAAAACAAAACGACAATCAACATAAGTATATTTATTTATAAGCATTTTTTCGCGATACTAATGTACATTGTGCTGTAATAATTATAATTTTTAACATTTGTTATTAAGGATATAATTATAGTACTTTACGGCGGCCATATTTGGAGGTTCCAATACTCAACGTAATTTGATAAGGAAAGGGTCTATTATACGCTTTAAGTCTGTTTCCCATCCCAAAATGTACTATATGTATGTATGATGTCATTTGAAGTTCATTGATAAAAAAACATTCATAACTATTTTGACTTTGGCGATAACGCATTTGCAACACAAATGTTTTCCTTGCAAACGTTTGTTTTTATTTTTCAGAAAAAAGGATTCTTAACCTAACAAGTGGGCGACAATAGCACAGCTGTTTGACGTTACCTGTCATAAGGACGTCGTTTTTAAGCCTTTCAATTGGACGAGAATAAAGAACCCACGGACAATTTTGGTATAAAAACATCAATTATTTCCGACCTTATCAGTACGTCCGAAGTGACCCTGAGGATGATAAAAAAATTTCCATATCTTCAAAGTAACCGGCCGAATCCAAAGGGAAATAAAGTGGCAAGAAGTATTTTCGCCTGAAGCTGTAGGCTGTTCGAACCTAGATGCCTACTGGATGAATGGCGTGACTGTCCAGACTTGCAACATAACGGACACGCCAGTAACCGTGCCAGAACATGTGCCAGTTACTATACTTGTACTATCAGATTTACTCGAGGATTCCTGCGTTTGCAGATTACAACGATAAGATTATATACATTATATATAAAGAGTTTATTACGGAAGACGATATTGGATTAATTTCTGGAAAGATATATGAAAACACACGAACTCCGCTATGTAATATTGAGCACGTCGATGTGTGGGCATTCTTCAAACTGATAAACAAATCTTTTTTACAAAGATGGTGCAGTCTCATAAAAATAATGAAAAAGGTCATCAAGAAATTATTTCTATTACGAGTGTCTGGCATACTGTTACAAAATTGATACTCGGCTTTTTGTAAAGTAACGGTCTTGTTCTGCTTACTTTGTCAACGCAGTTGTTGGATAAGATATCGATACCTCACCTCGAAATAACATGTTTTGAGACACAGTGAACATGTTAATAGTCTTTTAAGAAAATGTTAGATAGAAGCCAAGTTTTTGTCTGCGTATCTACAAACCACATGTCCACTTGTCGTTTAGTTTGTGTGTTTTTCCAGTCAGGTTTCGTGTGGACATTAACTACGCTGTGGTCAGGGTTTCATTTCTCTAGACAGAGTGTCTGTTTTCAATGTAGTGGGTACTACAACGGTAGTCTTGACATGAAAAAGACATGATAATAACCAAATAGAAATATATAATCGAGACAAAAAAAGACAAAAAAAAAAAAAAAAAAAGATGAGCTAAAAGGTAGAAAACCCTTGGTACGTAAATGATTGGTTGATAGGTAGAAAACCCTGGATACATAAATGATTGGTAAACAGGCAGAAACCCTTTGGTTGTTTTATTATAACAAAAGAGACGTGACTGGAAAACGTACAACTGGGATAAAATCAGATCGTCGACATCCGTCATAGATATAAATAGGTCTATCCAGGCAAGTAATGTCACGTTCTCTAACTGAGAACAAAATTAATAGCAGAAGAACCATCAGGTGTACTAACGAGCACCAAACAAGTCCAACTTCATACTGCGGAAGGAAATATTTCCCAATAAGGCCATTTTGGTGACAAGAAGAAATGACATAAAGCTTATTAAACTGGTATATCTGTCATATACTCTTGAGAAGTCAATCTAGCAGTGAGAGAAATAAGTTTCAACAAAATAACATTCTAAATTAAAATGAGACATAAGGATTGTCCTAGCTATAATTCTAGGTAGTCGGAGACTAATTCTCCGTGACATCAACGAGATATTATTTATTGATTAACAAGTTGTAAGTACATACAGGTAAAAGGTCGCAAAGAAAGATGATCTAAATTACAGGTAATCACAATACACTAATTACGATGTAATTATATTCCTACTTAATTCTGACCTTGACCTTTGACCTCATGTAAAACGTATCCAGCCTTAAGACATGATCGCAAAACCTGTTCATCTTATTACAAGGATATATACAACAAAGGATGGACGAGTGCCGTATCACGTTCTAAAAATCTTTCCAGCCGTGTTTGTCACGTGGCCACTAAAAACGCTCGTTGTCCAGGCCATGTGTTAAAATGCAATCAAAAACATCGGCAGTGAAATAGACTCTAATTCAGCATTGGAAATAATAATGACATTCTCCCTACACAAAATCTAATTGTGTAGTTTCTTGTTTTTAGCACGGTTGGTATTGTCAATCTCATTTCTCGTGTTTTATCGAGTTTCGATTCATAGAAACATGACCCTCACTTCATTTTGTACTTTATAGCGGACCTCTTGAAACATTCTTTACAAGCGTTGATAGTATTGGAATATTTCTTTTACATGTGCATCGGTCACTGCCCGTTCTTACTGCAAACATTTTGTTTAAATCTATATCGTTTTTTTTTTCGTGGAACAATTCTGTCTCAAAAGTCAATACTGATCCATTCAAAGCATATTCATTGCATTCTATACACTCTTTATAACAACTTTTCTTTGTTTTGACATAGACTTTTCATTTTAGATACTGCCTAAAATTTAATTTACGAACTCACTAGGATCCACGATCAAATTGAATCCGTTTAAAGACTTCTCAAGCGACAAATTTGTATTCCGTTCAGTGAGGTTTCATTAAGCTAGAAGGTATTTTGTATCTATAGTTACTTTCTGTAATGTCACCTCCAAACGCAAAAGAGTATGAAACGTCATCACAAATACGAAACAGCGTTTTCCGTCTTTTCCATCTTTTTGTAAAATTTAAGACAAAAGAAAGATCAACAATCCCATAGGGTATTTATGTAAAACATAGAGGTGAAACATTTAGGAGACATTTCAGTTCAAATGCTTCACCGTCGTGTTTGTAAAGGTGTTAAAGGATAGGACGGATGAATGCGAAAATTAAAACGGATACACCATTATGGCTACTTTTCTGTGAAAGTTTGCTGTTTTTCCATCAACCTCACATTGAAAGCTTAAGGATCTGTTTAAAAGGTTTTTTTTTACTTAATGACACCGTATTTGAAAGGTATGCAAGACCAGACATTTTTGGAGAGTACATAAGGGTAAATGACTTTGATAAATTTCATCAAAAAGACATTTTAAAAAGTGTTTTTTCACATATGTTACACAAAAAATTGAAATAATAGGTTGGTGAGAATTATTTGTAAAACATTTCCGTATGAAACGAAAATTTGCTAAATATGTACCTCCAAACATGTTGCTTTAAAAATGTGACTCAGTACGATTGTAACTATTCAATATATATGAACAATAAAAAAAATCACTCTTTTGTTCTCAAGAGACTCATTAAAAAGTTCTTTAAAATATGAAATTAAAGAATTTCAAAAGTGACTTGAAGTTATGACGTCCTATGTTGTTATAATCATGGATATTTATTTCTTATATTAGTTACTTTGATTGACGAAGATTAACACGGAGGGTGCCGTTGATAAAGCAAAAAACGCTTATCATTCCGCAAAACCTGGTCATATTTTCGTAATTTTTCATGAGTCTCCCTTCAAATTTTTCTTTTGTTCATAATTTGCCATAGTTAAATTGAATTTGAGTTTAGATTATGGTTTTGTTGACATGTTGTTATTTTTCTTCGTTGTTGTTTTTTTTATAGTTATTTATATAATTGTTACCGTGCAATTAGTGATGGGATAATTCGTTATACCTGTAACCACTGTTTAACTAATAACCACCTGCTCCAAGTCCAAACAACAGTTGTAATTCCATGAGCTATATAACGGGATTTCAAAACTTGTCATATGTGGTCTGTATTTTATCTTTTAGTACAATATCTACATAAATCAATACAATGTTCGATATATTTGAAGATGATCAACACTTCCAACAAATAAAACAGTTTCTCTAACTTTTTGCTTGATATCATCAGGTTTATTAACAAATGAAAGGAAATAATGTACCACTAACATTCAATTTGTGAGCTTGAAATTAACAAAACGATATCACGTAAGCATTATTACAAAGGGAACAAGTTCGAACCCAGAGTCTTTAAAAGGAAAAAAATATTCTTTATGTAGATGTTGTTGTACATCGCGTCGACTTCTTAGTTGAAATGTTGTTGTACATCGCGTCCATTTCTCTGTGTAGATGTTGATGTACATCGCGTCCATTTCTCTATGTAAATGTTGTTGTACATTGCGTCAATTTCTTAGTTTAGAAGTCATTGTACTTCGCGTCCATTTCTTAGTTTAGAAGTTGTTGTACATCGCGTCCATTTCTCTGTGTAAATGTTTTTGTACTTCGCGTCCATTTCTCTGTGTAAATGTTGTTGTACATCGCGTCAATTTCTCTATGTAAATGTTGTTGTACATCGCGTCCATTTCTCTGTGTAAATGATGTTGTACATTGCGTCAATTTCTTAGTTTAGATGTTGTTGTACATCGCGTCCATTTCTCTGTGTAGATGTTGTTGTACATCGCGTCCATTTCTCTGTGTAGATGTTGTTGAACATCGCGTCCATTTCTCTGTGTAAATGTTGTTGTACATCGCGTCCATTTCTCTATGTAAATGTTGTTGTACATCGCGTCCGTTTCTTTGTGTAGATGTTGTTGTACATCGCGCCCATTTCTTAGTTTAGAATGTTGTTGTACATCGCGTCCATTTCACTGTGTAGATGTTGTTGTACATCGCGTCCATTTCTCTGTGTAAATGTTTTTGTACTTCGCGTCCATTTCTCTGTGTAAATGTTGTTGTACATCGCGTCAATTTCTCTATGTAAATGTTGTTGTACATCGCGTCCATTTCTCTGTGTAAATGATGTTGTACATTGCGTCAATTTCTTAGTTTAGATGTTGTTGTACATCGCGTCCATTTCTCTGTGTAGATGTTGTTGTACATAGCGTCCATTTCTCTGTGTAGATGTTGTTGAACATCGCGTCCATTTCTCTGTGTAAATGTTGTTGTACATCGCGTCCATTTCTCTATGTAAATGTTGTTGTACATCGCGTCCATTTCTTTGTGTAGATGTTGTTGTACATCGCGTCCATTTCTTAGTTTAGATGTTGTTGTACATCGCGTCCATTCATCTGTGTAAATGTTGTTGTACATCGCGTCCATTTCACTGTGTAGATGTTGTTGTACATCGCGTCCATTTCTCTGTGTAGATGTTGTTGTACATCGCGTCCATTTCTTAGTTTAGAAGTTGTTGTACATCGCGTCCATTTCTCTGTGTAAATGATGTTGTACATTACGTCAATTTCTTTGTTTAGATGTTGTTGTACATCGCGTCCATTTCTCTGTGTAGATGTTGTTGTACATCACGTCCATTTCTCTGTGTAAATGTTGTTGTACATCGCGTCCATTTCTCTGTGTAAATGTTGTTGTACATCGCGTCCATTTCTTAGTTTAGAAGTTGTTGTATATCGCGTCAATTTCTCTGTGTAAATGATGTTGTACATCGCGTCAATTTCTTAGTTTAGATGTTGTTGTACATCGCGTCCATTTCTCTGTGTAGATGTTGTTGTACATCGCGTCCATTTCTCTGTGTAGATGTTGATGTACATAGCGTCCATTTCTCTATGTAAATGTTGTTGTACATCGCGTCCGTTTCTTTGTGTAGATGTTGTTGTACATCGCGTCCATTTCTCAGTTTAGATGTTGTTGTGTATCGCGTGCATTTCTCTATGTAAATGTTGTTGTACATCGCGTCCATTTCTTAGTTTAGATGTTTTTTGTACATCGCGTCCATTTCTCTGTGTAGATGTTGTTGTACATCGCGTCCATTTCTCTGTGTAGATGTTGTTGTACATCGCGTCCATTTCTTAGTTTAGAAGTTGTTATACATCGCGTGCATTTCTCTGTGTAAATGTTGTTTAATCGCGTCCATTTCGTTGTTTAGATGTTGTTGTACATCGCGTCCATTTCTCTGTGTAGATGTTGTTTTACATCGCGTCCATTTCTCTGTGTAGATGTTGTTGTACATCGCGTCCATTTCTCTGTGTAAATGTTGTTGTAC